GAGGAGAATTGGAATATTTTTCAATAATCCACTATCACAGAATGATAGCTTCTAGGTAGAGTTGGTTTTATTTTCTTATTGTATAGTTCTATTGTATTAGAAAATACCAGCACACACCATCTGGTGATCGGCCAAGGAAGGTAGTTTGGGGTAACTATGTCATTCAGTTCTGTTTATTTGGTTCAAATATGCAAGCGACAGGCATAAGTGTAGGAGTAAGTCCACACCACGGTCTGCTCTCAGCAGCACAGCATACACCAGATTAGTGAGCCTATCACTCTGGAAAGCAGGAAGCCTGAAGGTTTTAAAACTTGGAAGATAATGATAGTAAATAGATGGCTAATTCTGTTTGTTCGTGGGTTTTTTTTTTAACATTTTAGTTTCAGAAGGAATTTTTTGGTATTCTGTTGCAGAAATTGGATTTTCTCTTAAAATATGACCATTCAATATACTATTGATTTCTTACTCTGAAGCACAAGAATATAAAGCGTTGGGAAAAAGTCCATCTTTTGGCAACTGAGCTATCTGAACGGCAACTTAATTCTCTTAGGAAATTCTCTTATCCAAAAATCAACATTTTATAATCCTTTTATTTCAACCCTTATTTTTCCTTATATTTTAATTTATAAGTTTGGGTCATTCAAGCTAATTAATACAGTGATGAACTAAAACTTGAAGAAGCCACTTAAAGTGGCAGAGATGATTTTTACTGGGAATCAGTAGCATAGATTTTTAAAGTTCATCTCTCATTCAAAACTCTGTGTGAACTTTCTTTTGTCAACCGGTACCTCTCACTTTGGAAAAGCAGCATCACCTGTCACCCCATTTCTCTGCCATGTACTCCGAAATTACTTGCACCGAATAGGTACAACTGAATTATTAATCAGGTCTTGTTAAGATCACTGAGCAAAAAAACACAAGCAAGGTAAGTACTGCCAACTACCATCTGTATTCTGTGAGTAAAGCTGGGTGTGGATTGTCATTCAAGTGCAGCTCATTTATTAATAGATCAATGACTTTCTTAGTTGTATACATAGATGGTCTCATTTCAGTACTGATCTCAACAAAACTTTTTCAGTCTTTGTTACAGAGTACAGAAAAAGTTAAGTAGAGAAAACACCTCGTCTCTTTTAATCATCCACATTAAAAAACAAAATAAAATTTCATGAAACTATTCTTCCCATATAAGTGCTGCACATACGCCAGAAGCTGATTCGGTGGTTTCACCCAAATGTAAAGCAAAATATGGGATTGCCTCAACATGAAACAATAACTACTGTCACACATGTATATGGCAAAAACAAAACCGGCAATAGCTTGTCCTGCTTTCTTTTAAAGCATAATTTGGGCTTTACAGTCTTGTTGGCAGTGGTGTAACCTGCACCTGTTTTTGCTCTGGTAAGTGCAACTAAGAAGGGTGCCTCTGTAGTTCTTGTTCTTTTCTCCAACAGTCCTGACAACATTTATAGCTTTCACACTGGAAAGTATTTACTGGCAAATATTTCTGAAAAGCCAAATAATTTAACCACAGAAATTCTGAGCATTATTTGAATAAGAAACCAAAAGTTCAAAGGTTTCATGCCAGCATGACAGGCAGTACCCAAGAGACCAGGAGTGAAATTAGATGTTATTTTCAGGTATTCATCATCTTACATCATCGTACTTCCTAGTTGTACTTTATTGGTTTGTGGATTCACCTGTCTGGCAAACTGTATTCATATTTTATATTTTTATTGAACAAATTTTCATTAGATGGATTTGCAATATTATTCAATGATTCAGAATTTTTGTATACATATAGGCTTTACACTTTTATCATTACTTCCCACAGTTAGTGTAAAACAACCCCATAAGAATAATAAAAATCCCAGACGTAACAAATATAAACAATACTATGCAACTGGTATGAAATGTTAGCCAAGATGAAGGGACCAAATCAATTTCTATATAACATGTATTGCCTTTTTTTTTTTATTTTTTTTTTAACATGTATTGCCTTTAAGAACAAAATTATTACTAAGGACGGTGCTGTGAACATAAAATTAATCTTAGTCCAAGTTTATAAAATGTAAGGTAGATAAATTATATCTCTTTTTCCCCTCTGAAATTTTTGGACTGCTTATAGATCAGTTATAGATTTGCATGGACCACTAATGATAAACATATCACACTTTACCACAGAGTTTGTAAGATATATTTATAATGTCTATACAATGTCTCTTTTCATTTTTTTCTTACTCCCATCCTCTTTTTCCTTACCAAGGTCTTTAAAGAAGAAGGCCTGTGTGTTTATGTGAACAGATATCTACATCGCATTTACATCTCCAGCATCAGCTTCTCCCCTAAGCTTCAGACTTAGATACCTGCCAGACATCTCTACGTGGATGTCTGAAAAGGACCGTCAATTTACTATGCCCAGAACAGAGCTCTTGTATAGTCTTATCCAAACCTGGTCCACCTCCAGAGATTCCCACCTCATTATATCACCACTGATCCGATTGTTCAAGTCCAAACCTAAGAATCCATTGAGACGCCTCTCTCTCATCATATATCCAATATGTCAATGCTTATTGTCTTTATTCTCAAAAACATACATATTGAACTTGACAACTCCCCACTACGTGCACTGCTGTCACTTTGGTCCAGGCTGCCATCATCTCATCTCTTACGTGACCTACTCCTTACCTTATTACTGGTCTCTCTTATTTCTACTCTTGCACAGACACTTGTATTCTCTAAGTAGTCAGAGGAACATTTTTAAAAAGCTAATCAGGTGAGGTAAAACTCTCCAAGGGCTTCCTATCATGCTTAGGATAGAGTCCAGTGTTCTCACCATGGCCTGCGAGGCCTTGTGTGATCTGCTCTCCAGCTGCCTCTAGGAAGCCTACCTTCCTTATTTCACTGTTCCTTCCATGGACTGAGATAATTCTTGCCTCTGTGTTTTTTCACTTGTGATTTCCTCTGCCTGGAACACTATACCCCGATACCTGTGTGACTTGTTCCTTCAATTAGGTTATTTTCTGACCACGCTAATTTAATAGAGCCCTACCCGTACGCCCTTAATCCTGCTTTATTTCTCTCCACAGTCTTGTCACTTTCTGATATTGTATTATATATTTATTTATCATCATTTTCTCACTGGAATGTAAGTTCCATAAAAGTAGAGACTTTGCACTGATCACAAGCCGAATTCCCAGTGATCAGAGAGAGAGATTCGATGGTTCCTATTCTTTAGTTAGTTCTGTGGAAATAGAAAGGTGATAGGATATCTAAGATGAAAAGTCAGCCACCAAATCTCAGGGGAGCAGCACTCTGTGAAAGATAGGGGACTTAGCCTTAGTCTACAGAGTGACCACAGGAGGCCTGTGGAGTTTCTACATATCTTATACCTTTCCCACTGAGCAGCTGATAGCCGAGAATTCATACACTTTGAGGAATTTTCTTTCAGTCTTCGGTCAAATTCATCAATTAAAGCTTAGAGATGGGGGAATTCCCTGGTGGCGCAGTGGTTAAGAATCTGCCTGCCAATGCAGGGGACATGGGTTCAAGCCCTGGTCTGGGAAGATTCCACATGCCGCAGAGCAACTAAGCCCGTGCACCACAACTACTGAGCCTGCACTCTAGAGCTCTCAAGCCACAACTACTGAGCCTGTGTGCCACAAGTACTGAAGCCCGTGCACCTAGAGTCCATGCTCCACAACAAGAGAAGCCACCGCGTGAGAAGCCCGTGCACCGCAACGAAGAGTAGCCCCTGCTCACTGCAACTAGAGAAAGCCTGCGTGCAACAACGAAGACCCAACACAGCCAAAATAAATAAATTAATTAATTTAAAAAAAAGCTTAGAGATAGAATTATGGTTATTTCCTTAAGCTGCGTTCATTATAAACAAAAATTAAGTAGTTAACACCTTCACTTAATAAAGATTTAGCACAAGCACAGTCTAAGTCAAATCCCAGCAAAATGCAAATATTAACCTCATTGGGTAGGCTATGGTTTAAATATGTAGTGAGAGAGGTCTTGTGTGTCTCTGCCTTAGGCACTTGAGGTTTTTTCACTTAGTGACAACTCATAAACTAGCACTGTTGAGGCACAGAATATGTGTTACCCACAAGTAGAGTTGCAAAGAGGAAGGGAGGCTGATACAAGCATTCCTTGAGAGGTGCATGCCCTCTGCTACAACAAACTCTCCTGGCAGTCACTGGGTTCAGCTGGCTTTGGAGAGGATGACAGTACTTAATTCACTACTGGGGACTTCTAGCAGGACAAATATGTTGGATATATGAACTTTAAGTGCTAATTAATGAATTATTATTTAGTACCTGATAGGGAAGGGGTGATGGGCTTACTGAATAAAACAATGTAGTGTATATATCTTAAGTGAACATCTTGTAACCAGTGAAATACATTAATTGATTAGTCAATTCCACCACCAGTCAATAAAAAACTCAAATAGTCATTTTAAACACACTTGTTTCACCTCAGGCTTCTTGAAACTGTTAACCAGGAAAGCATTATAAAGATTTGTTGAAGGGCATATCAGCCTGTTCAATTTCCCCTTATTGCACTAGACAGTAATGTCTGGATAACTATAACTTTAGTCAGTAGGAGGTTACTCTTTCAGATTTACCTGAGGAAGATTTAGCTGAGTGTTCTTTTAAGAAAAGCTCAGTCCCCATTAATTATGACTATTTCTACCTGAATTTCCAGATGACTTCATGTGACTACTAAATAGTTTAGGCTACACGCCAGAGTCCCCTGCTGAGGCAGTCACTTCATTGGTACCATAAGATCAACATTTGGTTTTATATGAATGCATAAATCCTAACTGAATCTAATTTTGGAATTTAGCAGACTAAATTATTTTTATCATCTGTCCAAGCAGTTAGAAAGCTAAGATGCAGTTACAATCTTAACTACTTCAACTGTTTGTGTGGAAAAGACATGTTTTCTGTTCAGAAGACATATGGCAGAATATAGTTATTAAAATCTTAGTCTCATACCTCTCGAATAGCAGTACAAAACTCACTCTGGAGCACTTTTTTGAGGGACTGTAGCTTGTGCACTGGTACTTCTCCAGATTCCTGCAGTTTTTCCAGTAATTCAATTGCTCTGGCAACATCTGAATGAAAAAAAAAAAAAATCAAAATGTTGAGACATGGAGTAAACTGAATCTCATCACCAAAGTACCATCATTTCAGTGACAATGAAAACAGTGACAAAGAAAAGTAAGTGGAATTAATTGCAAAATGAGAATTTACAATTCATAGCTTATTGATCTCATCTTTTGATTAAAGGTCATTTAAATCTGTTCCACACAATTTGTCACTTAATACATCTTCCTTAATGGCATTTCTCATAAGTTATTTCTTGTCACACAAATTACTTTGAATATTCTTTCAGGAAAGAAGAGCAGGAAGCATGTCTTTTGTATATTCTGATACCCCAATAACCAAATGAATCCTGTTAATTTTACCTCTGAGATGCTTTTTTCAGGTTTTCTTTTCGCATTCCACATTTATCACACCTGCATTTTTACAGTTATTAGTATGACGATTTGATTAATGTGCATCTTCTCCACTTGTCGATAAACTCCTTGAGGGTAAGAACTTAATTGGGTTTATTCATCACTGCAGCCCCAGAGTCTGGTGTAATTTATGTGGTTAACACCAGGCTACGGTCATTTAAGTTTTAAGGCCCCCCCTGTATCTTGGGAACAATTAAATTATACTAAGGATAACCAGCCTAATAATGTTAGGAAATTGGGCCGTATGGACAGTGCCAATATATAATTTCCCTCAAAGATAAGGACCAGTAGAGAACAGACTAAGTCAGATGACCTGGGGGTATACTGGGCCGCACCTAATGGAAGAATAAAATTAATTCTTACTTATGACTTCAATAATACTGCTAGCTATGTTATTCGCACTTTGCCTGTTTTACCAGATTGTTGTTTCTTGCATTACCAAATGTGTCAATGAGCCTCTGACAAAAATATATAGCTCTATATGAGATCGATGACTGTAACAGTGTAACTCCAGATATGGCAAGATGCAACAAGAGGGGATTTTTTCCTGGACTGCAACAGACTAGTAAGACAGACGGTCCAGAGACTTTTGGCTACCGTTAATAAGGTCTAGTCCAATAATAGCACATAGAGTGGCCTACCAACAAAATCTTCGTCAGACCTGGGAATGAGCATTCCTAGCAATGTGGGACAAAATGGTCACGAAATACCTCTCAAACCATGGTCGAATTTATGACAGTGAGGGGGCCCTGTCACCTACAAACTGGCACTTGCCATCTACCTCCACAAGGATCAAATTATGAGCTGCTGCAGCTGCTGACCTTCAACACCCCCTAAAAGGAGTTCAAGGTGGAGGTCGATAATGAGGCCCTCTGTGCTTTGGGAAAAACTGGCAGAACAGGTCTTTAGATAGTTAGATATTTTCAGGAGAAGATTTTATGAGCCCAGTTCTTGCATCTCCTTGTATCTAGAAAAGCACTAAAATCCTTCACGGTGGTGTCTGCTCCTCGTGACTAGCAGTAATTTTCACAGGACCAGCAGAAACCTTCTCCAAAAAGTAAGAGCTTGATTGCATGTACTCCCCCTCCACGAAAATCACATATACATTGACCTTCCCTCAGACCTCTTTGGAGCAGTTTCTCAGAACTATGTGGAATGCTGTCTCCCGGGCTATAGTCCTCATTTTGCCCCAAATAAAACTTACACACACACACACACACAAACACACACACACACACACAAACACACACACACGTTAATATATCAAGAAACACAGTCTCTTATAGCCATAGCTTTAAAATTCCCAGGATGGTCCTGTATTGCCAAAAGAAAATGATATGATGAAGGCTATTTTAAAAATACTTATGGTGGGGCTTCCCTGGTGGCGCAGTGGTTGAGAGTCCGCCTGCCGATGCAGCAGACACGGGTTCGTGCCCCGGTCCGGGAAGATCCCACATGCCGCGGAGCGGCTGGGCCCGTGAGCCATGGCCGCTGAGCCTGCGTATCCGGAGCCTGTGCTCCGCAACGGGAGAGGCCACAGCAGTGAGAGGCCCGCGTACCGCAAAAAAAAAATAATAATAATACTTATGGTGATCTCTTCTACCTCTCTTGCTGTAGTCAATAACTCACTGAAAAGTCACTTAGGCATTTATGTATAGAATAGAGATTTTCAATTCCTAAGTGATTAACTCCAGAAAGTATCCCGTATCCCTGCCATCAGATTATAAATTCATCCATCCATCCATCCCTCAATTTGTGTTCCTATTAAACTTGGCACTAGCTTAACAAGACACACTTCTGAATTCACAGCTAAATAAGAAAAAACGTAACAGTATAGCTACCTATAATAAAATTTCTACCACCTCTGAATTAGGGTGGGGTTGGTATAGGTTTATGTATCTAACCAAAGAAAATAACCAAAAAGTAACTTTAATGGAGACTCTCCTTTGACGTACTGCCAACTGATTGCCAATCTTAGCCCAAGGAAGCATAAATCCTGAAATCAGTAAGACACTGCCAGTTTCAAAAGTCTGTCCTTTGTTACATAAACTGAAAGTCAACATAGTCAACTGTACCACACCAGCCACATCCACAATCAGTAAGATACCAAGCTAAGAATTGTATGCATTTCTAACTGCATGAAAGACTCTAGATGCCAACAGGCACTTGGAACTCTCAACATGTTTAAAACTGTGCTCATCATATTTTTTTCCTGAAATTAGCCCTTCTCTTCTTATATTCCATATTTCTATTAATAGCATCTCCATCCAGCCTGTCTTCCAAGCTAGACCATGGCATCATCTTTCAGATTCACCCCCACATGCAATTAGTCAGTAAGTGCTGCAGGTTCTATCTCAAAATGCCTTTTGAATGGAAACCCTTTGCTTCATTACTTCTCTCCTGAGGTACTGGAACATCTCCTAACTGTTCTTTAAGTGGCTTTTCTTTTACAGTCCACTGTCCACTCTGCTCCCAGAGTGATAAATCTCATTATTATACTCTCTTGCATAAAATCTTCTCTGGCTTCCTACTGCCTAAAGGGTGAAATTCGGACCACTTAGGGCTACATACAAAGCCTTTAACAACCAACCTCTTATGACTCATCTCTAGAAACCTCCTCCTGCCCATTCTATACGTTGACCATCCAAAATTTTCACTATTCTAGGACATGCCACAGGAACACCATGTCTCTGTGACTTTGTACATATCATCCCCTGTTCCTGGAATGCAATTAATTTATTCATCCAGTAGTGCCAGGCATGGGAGACACTGTGGTAATAGAGACAGACGGGTGCTCTTGCTTTCATGGCATTTATAGGTCTGACGGATCACAGATACCCAACAGAGGGGGCATGAGCTATAAAAGCAGCTCTCCAGGCTAGTACATGGATGTCTAACCAAGACATAACCAAGACATGACATCATCATCCAGGAGATCAGGGAGGAGCTCTTTGTGAAAATAACAGCTAAGTACAGCCCTGGGTAGGAGGTACAGGTGAGGACAAGGAGAAAAAAAGTTCCAGGCAAATAAGTGCGGATTGAAGTCTTACCAAGAGAGTGTGGGGCATTCACAGAACTGAGAGTTCAGTATGGCTGAAGTTGAAACCAGGCCAAGAGTAGCAAGAGATGCAGTAGAGAGAAATCATATGACGGAGGGTGTGTTAGGTCATGTAGGGAAGACTTGGCTTAAATAGCATCTCCTTAGGCATGTCTTCCCTGACCCTCCAAGGCAGATTTAGTTGCTATCATAGCCATGATCCCACAGTCCCTTGTTCACTTATCCACTGTAATAATTACTACTCTCTGCTATAGCTCTTTTTGCATATATGTCTCCATCCTTCACCCTTGCAAATATATTAGCTTCTTGAGGTCAGGAACAGTATCTTATTTGTTATTGTATCCATAGTTCAATGAAGAGTACTTGACAGATATTAGGTGTTTATATTTGTTGAATGAATGATGGATTAATTAATGAGACTAGCTAGGAAGGCAGGGGTTAGAGGTCTATGTCTAGGTGGACATATAACTAACTTCTCCTGAGACGAAACCTCCAGATCACTATCAGCCGTGATCAAGACTGGCTTGGGTCTGGTGTGGGGGGAAAGGACTCAAGCCTGAATCCGTAGGCTAAAGGGTATCATGTGACTGAACTAGAAGAAGTTCAGAAAAGCTGAAAGTGACTATTCAGGAGTTCTCACCCTGGACTGCACTTTAAAATTACCTGGAATACATTTTAAAATTATTTATTTATTCCCCCATTTTATTGAGATATAATTGACATATAACACTGTATTAGTTTAAGTGTACAACATAATGATTTGATATATGTATACAGCAAAATGATTACCACAATAAGTTATTAATGCCTGAGACTCACCCCAAATGAATTAAACCAGAATATATGGAACAGTGGTTCTCAACCTTGGCTGCAGACTGGAACCACCTGGGGAGCTTTAAAACCCTTGGATACCTGGGTCTCACCCCAGAGACTCCAGTGAGATTGGCATAGGGGGAGGCCTAGGCATTAGGCTTTCGAAAGCCCTCAAGGTGATGCTGAAGTGCAGCCAGGGTTGAGAACCACTGGTCTAGTTGGCATGGGTAGTTTTATAGCCCTATTTAATTCAAATGTGCATGCAGGGTTAAGAACCTCTGCTACAAATCAATGGTTCTAAAACATGAGTGTGCCTAAGAATTACCTGCGGAAATGTATTAAAATGTAGGTTCCTGACCCCTCACCCCCACTTGAGGGAGGTTGATTCAGGAGGTATGAGGATAAGGCCCAGGAATTTGCCTTTTAAACAAATGATTCAAGTGATTCTAAAGTAGTTTCACAGACCCCATTTCAAGAGATAGTGAACAAAATGATGGTTCAGGTTTCTTTCAGCCCCAGCATTCCAGAAACACTTGCATTTTCTATTATTCTTTGATACCCTGTAGAACAGGATACTGAATGGGATTCTTCTGGGAGTCTCAGAATTATTGACAAAAGTCCATGAATGAAAGTAATTAGTGTTAAGTACCAGCCCCATCCTGAAACAAGGCTCCTAGCAAAGGCCGCTCACCTGGATCACCTGTGGAGTTTTAAAACCAGCCTG